TACGTAAAACAAGTTCTTAGATTTTGTTCTTCGTGATATCTTGCTCACATTTCCTTCTTTCTCAGCTAGATGCAACAAGATTGGGTCGGTCTGTCAAGACCCACGATTCATTGGCGGGGATGGAGTTACCTTCTACTTCCACGGCGAGAAAGATAAGAACTTTTGCCTCGTCTCGGACTCTAGCTTCCATTTGAACGCTCACTTGATCGGCAAGAGGCCTCCTGGCAGGAGCAGGGACTTCACCTGGATTCAAGCTCTCGGCATTCTCTTTGGTCCCCACAAGCTCTACGTCGGGGCCAGGAGAGTGGCGACTTGGGATGGAGCAAAGGACCACTTTCTCGTCCACTTCGACAGCAATGCCGTGAGCATCGAGCAAGGAACCGGGGCGGTCTGGGAGGCCGAGTCGGGGCCTGTGAAGCTCACTCGGTTGGAGGCGACGAATTCGCTCAGCATTTTCATCCCGGGCGCTCTCAACGCGTCGGTGGCGATTGTTCCCATCTCCAAGGAGGAGTCGCGGGTTCACGGTTACGAGATCTCGGGCGACGACTGCTTCGCGCATCTCGAAGTTAACTTCCAGTTCGCGGGCCTTGGCTCGCGAGTGGAAGGCCTTCTTGGGCAGACTTACGCGGCCGATTGGAGATCGCCCATCAAGGAGGAAGGCATCGCGATGCCGACGCTGGGTGCTCGAGCCGATCGATACGAGGCATCGTCTATCCTCACGCCGGATTGTAGCGTTTCTCAGTTCCATAGGGCCTTGTAAAAAAGGTCTAAGAATATTTGCTTTGAGATAGGGTTTATTTTGTTAAAGTTGTGAGGTTGCCTAACATCCTCTTGACAGAATATTCTTAATGCTACACTTCGAATTTGCCCGCCATTGTTTTGCCCTAACCTAGGGATGGATGTGGATGTGAGTTTCTTTTTCACTTCTTTGATGGCGGCTTGATCGTCTTCTCCCTGCCAGGAGTTGGATGGAGATCCCTTTGCCGATCGGCCGCCTCCAAAATCGGTGTGGGAAGCCACGGAAGAGGAGAGCCTGGACGAAGTCCGGGCAACGATAGAGAACAAGCAAGACGTGAACTGCCCCAATCCAATCACTCTCAACACTCCCTTGTAAGCCTTGCCTCGTTGGTTTGATTCCATTTCTCGTTTGTTCGTCAGGATTATAGCGCTCAAAATCAATCACATCGAGATGGCGAATTTTCTGCTCTCCAAAGGAGCAGACGTGAAGCCTCAGAATAATTGTGGAGATACTGCACTTCACTGGGCCGTAAGAAATCTCTCTCTGTTTTTCTTCTTCTCTGTTTCAGTTGAGCATACCTGATTCCTGGAACAGGCACTTAGAGGACAAGAGGAAATGGTTAGAACGATGCTGAGCCGAGGGGCTAAGCTGGATGTGGTGGGAGAATTCGGGAACACTCCTCTACATTTTGCTTGCAAAGCAAACCATCTCAAGATTGTGTTCATGATGCTCGAGGTACAGACGAATCTTACCTTCGATCATGGATCAATCACTGACTTTCACTCCTGTGCGTTCAAGGCCAGGGCGGCGCATCTGTGACTTGCAGAAATGACTACGGCAACACTCCATTCGCAATGTCTGTCAATACGGATATAAGACATATGGTACGTAGCAACACTGTCTTTCGTGATGTTTATTCATTGTTCCTTTTCTTTTCTGGTTTCTCTTTCAGCTGAGGCTGGTGATGGTGAACAAAGAATCAGGAAGAGAGCAAGTGAAAGCCGAAGCACTCCGGAGGCTGGAAATTGAAAAAGAAGCTCAGGAGAGAGACCGGATGCGTCTGCAGGTCTGGAAACACTTACTAGAAGAACCGCACTTCAACGACCGGTCACAGTCCGTGCTGAGTTTTCAATGTTCCAGGCTATAGAAAACGAGAGAAAACAGCAGGAGGATTACGATCTCTCCAGGAGAGAGGCCATCTTAGCAGAAGAGGTGCGAAACCCGTTGGACTTGAGTAGCTCATCTCGTTTTCTTGCAATGGAAATGCAGAAGCGAATTGAGGAGGAAGACGCTGAAAGGGAGCACCTCGAAGAGGAAGAGCGAAGACGACAGGTAGAAAACTTTGGTTGTTTGAGCACGTCCTTGTAAGCTTGATTCTACTGCAGGAGGAGGCTAGAATTGAGGCGGAGAGGCTGGAAGCCGAGAGGATCAAAGCCGAGAAGAAGCAAAAGAAATACGAGAAGTGGCTGGCCAAGATGAAGAAGAAAAACCCGGGCTTCGTCGATCCGAGAATCATCAAGGCTCAAAAGGCGGCAGCGAAAGCGGCGGCCAAAGCCGCCAAAGCAAAGAAGAAGAAATAGAATCCTCAGGAGGGTGAAATATGCCGGTCCACCGATGTTGCGCCACGTCCTTCTTTGGGCTTCACGTTCCTTTTAACGTTCTGAGACGATGCTCTCAAGCGCAAAGCTGGCGATGAAGCGAACAAGAAGGTAAAAATGGTCCAAATAAAGAGTCGCTCAATGTTTACCTCTAGTTTTTAGAAAAAGAAATATATTTCACAATCCCTTTCTATGTTGGATCTTTTGCCCCTTCTCAAGTTGGTGTCCACTACATTGTTCTCATATATCTTGTGACAGCCAGATCTCTACACTTCAGTAGATTAAGCGACTGCAAACTGTCCGTGTAGATATTCACCTTGTTCGATGCCCAGTAACCTAGAGCCTACAACTTGATGGAGTCATATATCCCAAGAAGCTCCATGTTGAGTGAAGACATGACCACATTATCATATAGAAAAGTATGTTTTGTTCTTTAAATTCATATTATTATAAGTATGAGCAAAGTGTAAATGTTTTTTTATAGAAAACTGATCCAGATATTATTATAAAATATTTAATTTTTAAGATTAATTTTGAATCATATTAAATTTTAGCAAAATATAAAAAGGGGTAAATATGGATGGAAAAATTGTACATTTAAAAGTTATTTTTAGCATTATTTTAACTAATGTGAAATTTTTTTCATCATTATATACTGGATCACCACTAGCTAGTTTATAAATAGTAGAAATTATTTTATAAAAAAAAAATGTAATGTTAATTTCATGTGGCAAGTTAATATCCTTGGAGAATTTATGTAGCTAGTGCAATATAATATTTATATGTTATGCTCAATAAAAATAAAGAGTTATACCATTGTGTTAAGGATAATTTTTACATTTTGTAAATACAAAATAAATTATTATTTTAATATTTAATAATTTTTATTTATACTAAAATCAAAATTAAAAAAACTTCCCATATATTTAAGAAATTTGAAAATATTGCCCTTAAAGCCTGTTTTATTAGTTTAAGACTCTTAAAGTCATAATAAATATACATTTAAAACTATAACAAATGTAAATAATAAATATTTTAATTAAGAAATAGCATTAAAGATATGTGATTTAAAAAGGGAGTTTAACCTTTTTCGAGAAGGAGAGTAGAGAAAAAACGCTTCCCACGTCCACCGTCTCACATGCATAAGGCTAGGCAATCGTCATCAAATGCCATCACACCAAAGGCAACGCTATTGAAGAGTATATATGCCTAGAGCTTGGCGAATGGGTACATGTTTTGGTTGCCTTTCCTATGACAAGTATACCACCCCATTGAATTTAGCAAAAGTGAAAATTTTATCATTTATTAATATTCATTTACATGAATTTTAGCAAAATATAAAAAGGGGTAAATATGGATGGAAAAATTGTACATTTAAAAGTTATTTTTAACATTATTTTAACTGATGTGAAATTTTTTTCATCATTATATACTGGATCACCACTAGCTAGTTTATAAATCGTAAAAATTATTTTATAAAAGAAAAAATGTAATGTTAATTTTATGTGGCAAGTTAATATCTTTGGAGAATTTATGTAGCTAGTGCAATATAATATTTATATGTTATGCTCAATAAAAATAAAGAGTTATTAATGATAGTTTTTAGTTTCAAAATTAAAATTAAAAAAACTTCTCATATATTTAAGAAATTTGAAAATATTACCCTTAAAGCCTATTTTATTAGTTTAAGACTCTTAAATTCATAATAAATATACATTTAAAACTATAACAAATGTAAATAATAAATATTTTAATTAAGAAATAGCATTAAAGATATGTGATTTAAAAAGGGAGTTCAACCTTTTTTGAGAAGGAGAGTAGAGAAAAAACGCTTCCCACGTCCACCGTCTCACATGCACAAGGCTAGGCAATCGTCATCAAATGCTACCACACCAAAGGCAACACTATTGAGGAGTATATATGCCTAGAGCTTGGCAAATGGGTACATGCTTTGGTCGCCTTTCCTATGACAAATATGCCACCCCATTGAATTTAGCAAAAGTGAAAATTTTATCATTTATTAATATTCATTTACATGAATTTTAGCAAAATATAAAAAGGGGTAAATATGGATGGAAAAATTGTACATTTAAAAGGTATTTTTAACATTATTTTAACTAATGTGAAATTTTTTTCATCATTATATACTGGATCACCACTAGCTAGTTTATAAATAGTAGAAATTATTTTATAAAAGAAAAAATGTAATGTTAATTTCATGGGCAAGTTAATATCTTTGGAGAATTTATGTAGCTAGTGCAATATAATATTTATATATTATGTTCAATAAAAATAAAGAGTTATTGATAATGGTTTTTAGTTTCAAAATCAAAATTAAAAAAGCTTCCCATATCTTTAAGAAATTTGAAAATATTACCCTTAAAGCCTGTTTTATTAGTTTAAGACTCTTAAAATCATAATAAATATACATTTAAAACTATAACAAATGTAAATAGTAAATATTTTAATTAAGAAATAACATTAAAGATATATGATTTAAAAACCTCTTTCAAGAAGAAGAGTGGAGAAGAAATGCTTCATATCCACCATCTCACATGCACAAGGCTAGCCAATCATCATTAAATGCCACCACATCAAAGACAACGCTATTGAGGAGTATATATACCTAGAACCTAACGAATGGGTATATGTTTTGGTTGCCCTTCCTATAATAAGTATGCCACCCCATTGAATTTAGCAAAAATGAAAATTTTATCATTTATTAATATTCATTTACATGAAGAATTACAGATGAATAATTCTGGATGCTTAGCTAAAAGTTGCAAAAACCCCTCTCCATTAACAAAAAAAGAATAAATAATAACTAGCAAAACCATCTTAATGTCCTCAAAACCATGTTAATGTCCTTCAAAAACGTGGACAACAGCTCCTACTTGTACACTGCCACGGATTCCACCTTTTGCAAGATCGGAATGAGACGCCCACCATGCTTGGAAACCTGTCTCAAATCTTGGCCAATCCACCACCATGAAGCTAGCGTCAACAGGACAATCAATTCCAATGGCGGCGGCCTCGCATAGGCAGGCGAGCAGCGTGGCACAAGGATCCCAGCGAGCTGATTCAGATGAATCACGGGCTCAGGCGGCGGACTATAATTCCATAGCAACAAAGTGCCTTTTTTGCCACTGCCCGACGTTAGAGATAACCCTACCATCTTAGGGTTCTTTTTACAAAGGGGAAAAGTTTCCAGTGCAATTTTCACAAAATCCAACAAAAGCTATGCTATTATATGGAAAATCCTACTCATTCTTGAATTAAGAACACAGTCACTGATTACTCCTCAATGGCGCTGGTCGAGTCTCTAGCAAGTGGCGGAGCGAAAGAACCAGATGCGCGACAAGGTCTGGGGATTTTTCTTTGTCCCAGGCCGCTAGAACTTGTTTGTCTTTCTGAGCAGAAACGTCGCGAAGAGCTGGAGCGCGTCCAGAAGGAGAGGGAGGCGGACGTCCGGAGCTACAAAGCCCTGATGGTGTCGGAGAAAATGACTTCCAACAAGGATATTGCCGGCAAAGGCAAGTCTCTCCAGGAGATTGAGGGCGACTTTATGTGACGAGCCTCAACCAGCCCCGGCCTGTCCATCCTTCCTTCCTGGAGCGTTCGCATGATAACGATGAAATAAGCTGGACGCTTGTTGAAGCACGTACCATAACTCTTTAATCTTCTAGTGATGCCGCTCCTCGCTCGCTCCTTGTTCGTCACAAGCACAGGCTTCCAAACTGAGAGTTCCAATCCTCGTAGGCAGCTCGCATTTCGAGACTGAAGGCTTTACTTCTTGAAGAGCGGCCCTGAAGTCCTGCAGAGGAGATTTAGAGTACGTAGATTGGAAGCTTTTGCTTACCTGTAGCCCAATAGCTCGCATTTCTTCCGTGCTAATCTTGCCAATGTCTTTCCCCGCTTTGAGAGCCTCGCGGAGAGGATACATGGATGCTTCTTTGACGAGGTTGTTCATGTCAGAACCGGAATAGCCTGGAAGCAGCAAAAGGATGAGCTTGATTCAGGTGATGAAAGCTGGTGTCTGTATGTACCCTCGGTCATTGAGCATATTTCGTCCATGTCGCTGCTGGACATACAAAACAGACCATCCTCGAGCCTCTGCATGGGAAGCATAGTCAAGCATAAGGTGAGGCGAGAATGAATTACCAGCAGAAGAAAGTGGTATGTATAGCCTCTTCGAGAAACGATGGCGGGCTGCTTCATCAAGCTCTTGAGGCCTGTTTGTAGCACCTAAAACGTTTTTGTCGAACTCTACAGTCCATCGATCAGTCCCTGGCTTACCTATAAGAAGAAGCTGCTCGTTACCACTGCCAATACCTTCCATCTCAATGAGAAACTGCGCCTTTATCCTTCGGCTTGATTCATGCTCTCCTCTGATTTCCTCTGGTTTTAACAAAGTAAATACCGAACGAGATGTTCAGATTGTCGACGATACCTGAGATAGGAGTGAGTCCACTTCGTCGATGAATATCACCGCTGGTGTGCGACAACTTGCTACACCAAACAAAGCTCGGACAAGCTTCTCGCCTTCACCAATCTGCAACTCTGAACAGACAAATTAGCATGTGCTAGGAAGAAAATCAAAGTTACCCATTTGCTAGTTAGCGAGCTTGAAAAGAATGTAGCTTTTAATTCGCCAGCGATCGCTTTTCCTATCGTTGTCTTGCCTGTTCCCTGTCACATTCTTGAGTTGCTTCATCAAATATACACTTACAGGGGGGCCAAAAAGGAGGAGTCCTTTTCCTGGCGAGCGGCAGCCACGGAAAATGTCCGGGCGTAAAAGGGGCCAAATCACCATTTCTGTGACACTCTTTTTAGCATGATCCAGTCCAGCTGTTTGCAAAAAACTGAAGTTACAACACAAACTAATGAGTGAGAAAAAGCGCTACCTATGTCATCCCAGCGAACGTTTGAATCCCTTTCCATTATTTCGTTGCTTATGTGCTCACCATATCCGACTCGACCACCAAATGGTACGTTCTCATGTCCATTTGGTTTACTTTCTCAACCGTGTCATATTAGCTTGGAACTTCTCGCCGGTCCCGATGGCGAGCTGCCTGACAAGTTGCGCAATCTGGAACCTCGCCTGCTCAGCATCCGAATTCTGCGTGGTTGTTCCTCCCCCATTGGAGCGAAGAGGTGGTGTAAAAGAACTTCGAACATTCCGGCGGCCCAGAGTCTTAGCGATGGTGTTGGTCCCTGTAGGTGCCGGACACGATGTTGATCCCGTTTTCTTGGAGTCAAGTGCCTGAAGAAAGAAATTTCTGCGGAGAACTGTCGAAAGGTTCAAAATGCTTACTCATTTTTTATTTGCTGTGACAAATCCTCCTGAACTCTCCACAGGATTTTGCTTCTCTACAACGACAGACTTGTTCCTTATCTTGGCGGCTCACACACAACTCTTCCGCGCTTCTTGCTCTCTCCCGGGCTGACGTCTATGCGATCAATATCCATTGGTTCCTGTAAGTTCAGATTGTCAAAACCACGAGAGAAAGAAAAAAATAAAAAAATTCAAAGATCACTCACGCTGCTGTCACCACAAAATGGTTTGTAAAGTCGTCTACACGGTGCTGGCCTCCCCCAAAAACCACGCCGCTAGATCGAGCTGCCTGTGCGAGCGTATTTCTTCAACCAAATCACTACGTAAGCTAGATTTCATGGCCAAAATCCACTTACCTCTCAAAACCTTGGTAGAATTTGTCCCTGGCCGCATCGATCAGATCCTGGACATGCCTCTTTATTGGAGCAGTGTACATCGCATCGTCTCTCGTCCTCGTCTCGAGAAATCCCAGCAGACAAAGCCCCAGACCCAGCGCCTTCTCCCATTCCTCCGCCTTGATCGCGGCCTCCACCATAAACCCTAGAAAATGCGCGCGAATGAGTTGAAATTAAAGGTGACGTAAGTTACATTAGTCCAATGTAAATATTTACACGGTAACTTTCTTGTATCGATAGCCTCTCGAGCATGCCCAGAAGAAGAGCCCATTGAGAGCCCTGAGCGCCGCCACCAAAAAAGAAGTAATCCAGGTGGCCGCGGTTTAGATTGTTTGGGATCCACCCATAACTCCCGGAAGAACTCGTTGCGTGGGAGATCACCGCCACCAAGAAGCTGCTCAAGTAGTTCGCCAGCGCCACCGTGCTGAGCGCCAGCGCGGTCGCCAAGCTCCTCATCGCGTCGGGTGCTTGATCGTAGAAGAACTCGAGCTGCCCAAGGGACGTGAAAATTTCCGAGGCACCGACGAGGAAGTACTGCGGTATCTGCCAGAGAATGCTCATCGGGACCGGATCCGTGACGTTGTCCAGGAGATCAAACTCGGCCGCGAGCTGGAGCCTCGAGATCTGCGAGTAGATTGGTAGAATCCGGATAAAGATCTTTACTTCCTCAACCTGAGTGACTGTGAAGACGAGGAGGTAACTCCTTTTCTCTTTTCTATAGACTAGCTCTTATCTCTTTCTTCCAGGTCAAGAAAGACGCGGGCGGTGTCACGGAGCTGTTCTCATGGGTGCAGATATTGTTTGGAAAACCGCGAGGTAATAGTTTTCCAAGCTCGCTCTCATACATCGTCAGGTACCAGCTGCGGCCGAATACGAAAATAATCCTTTTTTCTCTTCGAGTCGGAACTGTAAAACGTGGTTCCTGTTGCTGCTGGTAAATCTACTCATGACTAAAACTTGGATCTCTAAGTTATAATCGATCCAAATCACCGCAGGTCTGATGGATGGAGGCTTGGACATGGAAGTTCCAGAGAGAAGCGTATAGTCGCTGTAAATGGTACCGCCATTGACACCAAGGTGAGTGCGTCTTTGCGATGAATAGAGGCGCTTTCGACGCGAATGTACACCAAGGTACCTATGGTCTAGGTGATTTTTGTACACTCTCGTCGGCACTTGCGATTTCTACTTGTTTCTTGAGGCTGGAGGCCGTGTAATCTGGCGCAGTGCGTGAGATTCAAAAGGTTCGAAGTGCTTTCTCTGGAACTGTTACTGGAAGCTAACAACTCTTCCTTGACAAAGCAACGAGCAAGGCTTACATGGATAGAGCAAACGTTAGTGCATTGATTTGACGACTTGTTTCCCTTGGCTCTATATAATTCTTCTATCGATTCTTTGCATTACATGCCACCAAGCACCAACTACAAATGCTCAAGCCCAATCGATCCAGGGCCGTTCGTCAACCTCCGGCAAGGCGTGTTTTTTCTAGGGTTCAGCAATGAAGCATAAGATCTTACCGCTGCTCAAGGCGGTGAGGCAGGATGCGCTGCGCTCTGGGGATGCTAAACTTGCGAGGTGGTGCAAAGATTTGGCCCGTGAGGCGGTCGCCGAAGGTAGAGAGCATAGGTGTCTCAGGGAGTTTTACGGGTCTGGGAGTTTCACTCTCACCGATATCGGTGTCGTGGGTCGTGCCGTGCTCATCCTCTACGTGGGGAATCTCTTCTCCAGCACACTCGAGAAGCAGCGCTGCATCTTCAGCTCGCTGGGCAGTGTCAAGGAGGTGGACTTGGACCTCCTGGTCGCGGCCGCGTCCAGGCTCCGCAAGCTGGACTGCTCTCCAGCTTACGAGGAGGCGATCTGGGGAGTCTTGAAGCGAGTGTGCTCCACGGACTATTTCCTGAAAGAGGTAATGCTTTCCTAGTTTATAGCACATATACTCTTCGCTAAAGGTAAGGTCTCTTTTAGGATCTGGCGACTGCCAGCCGAGTTTGCGGCAAGATCATGGCGGCAGGAGGCGATTGTCACTCGCAGCAGTTGATGAACGCCATTCTTCAAGCCTACCGTGAAGTGGAATACGTCCACTATGACTCCAGGAGTTGTAACCGACTGGACTTTGACCCAGCCAACCCAATCGATGAGGTCGTGGCACTCGTTGTGGCACCATTGGAGCCGGGGGAGCTGCTCAGGGGAATCAACGACTCTCCAGTTCTGGAGCAGCTGACGACGAGGAGGCCAGATCAGCAGTCGCTGATACCTCATACCGAAGCCGTGATGGTTTGCATTGAGCACGCAGTGATGTGGCTCTGCAAATCCAAGCTTCGGGTTTTCTACCCGCTTGCTGTGACTTGTAAGTTTTTCCAAGTCTGTAAGCTTTCTAGGTCCGTGCTTTAATGTTTTTTATGCTTACCTTGTAGACCAAGATATAGCAAAACTTTCCATCGAGGACGAGAGGTTGTTCCAAAGGTTTTGGTACGTCGCTATTGAAATGTACCTCATAACTAATGTGCCAATCAAACAGGAACGTTCGTATCCCATCACCTCTGGAACGAGGGCTCCGGGTTATAGCCATAGATGACAGGTTGCCTATTATTTCTTTTTTCGTGTGTAATATTTACGCTTTTTCACTGCAGTGATGCACTCATGGACGGGGATCTGCACTATGTCCATGCTGAAGATTACAAGAGCATCACCCCGGTCCTCCTCGAGGATATGTCCATCAAAGAACTCGAGGTTCTCAAGAAACTCGCGTTTCATTATCGGGCCACTGCTGCAAACTTGGAGTACGAAAGAAGTGTTGCTTGCGGCATAGCGGCAGATTTCTTCATGGAATACGGGAGATCGGAGCCACCTCAGTATCGCTATCTTTTTACCTGAATGTTTTCGTAAAATATGCTTTTTAACTTTTTTGGGTAAGCCCTTTTTTTGGAACAAGAAGCAAAACTTACAGAAACTCGTAACTCAAAACTCTTGGTTAGACATGGCTCACATTTAGTTTGTTTTATTGGTTGATCTGCCCGTGCGAGTGCATTAGACTCGTGGAAACCATGCTTCTGCTCTAGCTTGTCAATTCTAAAAAATTAATGGGTATATCTAAAGCAAACACTGTTTCTTCTAAAGGTAAAGAACCATAGTAGTTAACATTTTCATTTACCTTATATAATTAAAAAAAATTGCTGCGCATTGTGTTGTAGCAACGCTTGGTTTGCTTTTGTTTTTTAATATTTTTTGTTACGAACCATCCTCGGCCCATATTTTGCCACGTGACCCTTACATTTGTTCCTATATAATTTGTTCAAATTCAAGTCCTGGCTCAAATTTTTTATTGCCATGGTGATTTTGACCATGGCTTTTCCAACCCTTTTGTCAAGAGCACTACAAGAGCGTACATGGCTTCAAACATCCAATTCAAACAAATTAATAGTAAATCTGAAATTTGGAATTGCTCGTGGCTTAAGCTCTTTCATGTTAATTTCCTTACGCACTTACTGCAAGATAGGGTTTAGCATCTAGTACAGAAAGCAATACACCACATCCTTCACCCAGCTTCTCTAAAGTCCTTAAGGAACTCCCTATCCAGATGCACAATGATCATTTTCCTGGATTCTGGTGTTAACAATGTTAAAGTGGTAGATTACCTGAGATGGGCTTTTAGAGGTAGCTTGTGTTTCTTGCGTATTAGTTCTCTTGCGAATTTCAAGTTGCTATGCAATGCTATCAGCAACAATCTTGTGAGTTGTTGCCATGGAATTGCTAGTTTGTGTGCTTTGAAATTTAGAAATTGTTAAAAGAAGCACTAGAAGATTTCACGAATAGATATTTGTATTATAGAGAAAGCAATTGAAAAATAGACAAGAGACAAGTGTATCTATTTTTGGTTGTTGGCAATATCTATGGCTGAATTGTTTGGTGTCTCAAAATGGACAATAATATTTGCCTCATTCAATAGAAAGAACTTTGTTGGTTTTGAAGATAGATAAATAGCAATTTTTTCTAGGGACTTCGTAGCAAACTTGACCATAGACCCTTCATCCAAATTATAAATTTTATCCACCATTTTATCACACATTGTAACTTTATATTCCATCATGTCATTTGATATAATAGAATCAGTTATTGTAGCTGATTTATGAGGGATGGAACACCCTTTACACTTTGCACAAACAACAAAACCATCTTCTCTCTCCTCTAACATTATGAAAGAGCAAAATGAACAAAGACTTTCAGCTTGAGTGAGGTTTTGTTAGTTGTCAGGGATGAAATATCCACTAATCTGTATAATTAGAAGTTAGAGTTGAAAGGAGATATAAACAACTTACATTACCTTGTCTTTAGAAGTGAGGCCATGTTGTGTTTTATGAACTTCATTGAACCTCTGAATTTCATTTGAATCAACTAGTGGCAAAACTAAAGTATTTCCAGGTGTTGCTAAATCACCTGATACACTCATGCTTTTCATAATATAAAAAAATAAAAACTTTGGCATGTATCTAGCATATAAATCTGCTACAATATGATGATACTGCTCTTCATGCTCCAGATGCATATAGAGCTGTAAAAATATCTTAGAAATAGAAAATTAAATAGTAAAAAAATTACATCCAAAGGATTATCAGAAGAAGCAATCTTTATTTTAGGAAAAACACCAGTGTTGATTACAATAGCATGTATAGCTTGTGGATAAACTCTAGTAACCATTAAAGATGATATAGAAGCACCTCTAGTTGGTTGTAATCTTAGTTTAACATCAAAATCACTTATAATTTGAATGATAGAAGAATCTGTAATTTAAAGAACTTTTTCTGAAGTTCCATAGTGGTAAACTGGGTTTTTCTGTCATTCAACCCATCTGAAGTGAGAGAATTATAATCTTGTTATTTTTTTAAAAAAAATTACGAACTTTGTAAGTGAGAAACATTTGCCAACCATAAATTTATTACATAATCGCACACACATGGATGAATTGCCATATACAGTTAAAGTTTGCAAGCCATGCATATCTGTACAATCCATTATATAAGTTAAGTATTTTGCACTTCATAGAGTGTTCTTTGCAACATGAACTTTATAAGTTCTATACCAAAAGAAAATGAAAACTACAGAAAAAAAGGATTTCAAAACCATATATAGATTAATCTTCAGCTCAAGAATCTTAGTTGAATTTTCTTTTTCAAAGACAAGTGATTTAGGATGGTCAACTTTGTCCTCTTTGCTTGTGAAACTACAAAAGATAAATCAAGAAATACTAAAGAATAAAGAGAATCATAAGAATTTGTTTCTGTTGACAAATCCTCAGTGGGTGACAACTGAACAATATCCATAGCACAATCCAAATCTGACATATTTATGTGATTGATTAAACAGAATTACCTCTAGTTAATTTATACTAGTAAAAAGAGCCAAAAATAAACTAGACTTCACTTTGAAGAATCGAAAACAAAAAAGAATAAAACTTTGAGCTAAAAATTAAAATCCGTCAACTTGCCAAACTTAGGGTTAGGGCAGACAATAAAGCAGCCTGACTCCACTCCTTTGGCTGATACAATCTCCCTCTGTCCGTCGCTTTAAAAAAGAGGAAGGAATAAGAATAGAAAGATTGTCGTTTGTTCACACGTCCAAGTCAAAGCCCAGCATTTATGTCATGGTTTCCTCCAAAACTCAAGGTTCGGTCACCGTCCATCAATTGAGCCTCAATTTGCTCTTCCCAACGACTCCTCTTTGAAAATACTCTCCCTCCTCCCCCACTGCCCACTCGCATAATAGGGAGCCATACGGAGGAAGATCTAAGCTCCATCCATGGATGCATTCCAGATTGATTAATTGATTCTGGGCAATCAATCAGTACTGCCGTGGTTGGTTTTTGATCCTGGATTGTGGCTCCAATCCTCAATCAATTCAATAGTCCAAATATGATTTTCTTGATGCTTCCCAAGGACAAGAGCAATCCATTGGAGCTAGTGGAGAATGCGGTGGCCGGGAACGATGATAGCATCGTGATTGATCTCAAGGGGGCCCTGCTCAAATCCCCGAGCTGGTTTCAATACTTCATGCTTGTCGCAATTGAGGCTGGGAGCCCCCTATGAGTGCTCCTCCTCTTTTTCATTCTTCCCTTCACATGGATCACTGGCTGCCTCAGCCCTAGAGCTCTAGATTTTCTGCTTCATGGCAGTGGCTGGATTGAGGGCCTCGGCAATGGAACTTTGAGAGCTCCCTTGCAATTGCCGTTCTGGACATAGAACCCAACCAATGCATTGTACATTACATGGTTTCTTTGGCTCATGCTCCAAAAACCACCATGATGATACAAAGTGGTTAGAAAAATTTATAAATTATAAACATGTAAGCACGGTCATTTAGAAGCAAGAGCCTTAGTTTAGCAATCTGCAAGCTCTGTGACAAAGAGATGTCAAAGATACAAGGACTTTTAGTGACCATATCAATGTCGTACATGGCTTCAAGCATCTAGGTCAAACAAATCAATAACAAAGTTGAAATTTGGAATTGCTTATGGCTCAAGCTCTTTCACGTTCATTTTCTTGCACATTTACTACAAGATGGGGTTTAGCATCTAGTATAGAAAGCAATACACCACATTCTTCACCCAGCTTCTCTGAAGCCCTTAAGGAACTCCCTAGCCGGATGCACAATGATCATTTTCTTGGATTCCGGTGTTAGGCATACAATGTTAACGTGGTAGATTACCTGAGAGGGGCTTTTAGAGGCAACTTGTGTTTCTCACATATTAGTTCTCTAATTGATTGTGCAATGCAATCAGCAGCAATCTTGTGACTTGTTGCCATGGGATTTCTAGTTTGTATGTTTTGAAATCTAGAAATTGTTAAGAGAAGCACTACAAGATTTCACGAATAGATATTTATATTATAGAGAAAGCAATTGAAAAATAGACAAGAGACTATTGTATCTATTTCTGGTTGTTGGCAATTTCCATGGCTGAATTGTTTGGTGTCTCAAAATGGATAATAATATTTGCCTCATTTAATAGAAAGAATCCTATTGGTTTTGAAGACAGATAAACAACAATATTTTCTGGGGACTCCATAGCAAACTTGACCATAGACCCTTCATCCAAATTATAAATTTTATCCACCATTTTATCACGCACTGTAACTCTATATTCCATCATGTCATTTGATATAATAGAACCAGTTATTGTAGCTGATTTACAAGGGATGGAATGCCCTTTACACTTTGCGCAAACAACAAAACCATCTTCTCTCTGCTCTAACATTGTGAAAGAGTAAAATGAGCAAAGACTTTCAGCTTGAGTGAGGCTCTGTTGATTGTCAGGGATGAAATATCCACTAATCTGTATAATTGGAAGTTAGAGTTGAAGTAGATGTAAACAATTTACATTACCTTGTCTTTAGAAGTGAGACCACGGTGTGTTTTATAAACTTCATTGAGCCTCTGAATTTCATTTGAATCAACTAGTGGCAAAAATAAAGTACTTCCAAGTGTTGCTAAATCACCTGATACACTCATGCTTTTCATAATATTAAAAAATAAAAACTTTGGCATATATCCAGCATATAAATCTGCTACAATATGATGATATTTCTC